AGGGTTGTGGGGCCTGTTGCCCGGTGCTGCCACGGATCCTCCCGACGTTCTCGTGCCAGCGGTGGCACAAGTGACCTTTTCATCCCCCCTGCTCCTGCGCCGAGCGGCTGCGGGTGCTGGCAGGCGCTAGCGGCCTCTCCTTCAGCACAGCTTGAGATACTTCTCTCCTAATTAGAGAAAGGGATTCAGAAAAACTGTAGAAGTTCACTCCAGAGAGCCGCTGGGCTTCGTGGTGAAGAAGTGGTTGCTGGCAGTAGTTATATGTGAGCTTGAAGACAAGCAGATCACTCTGGATGTGACAGAGCACCGTGGAGATGGGCAGCGGGCTCCCCTCTGGGCTTTCTGGCAGGGTAAGGCCAACCAAGTCCTCCCCTTTCCTCAGGATTCAGAAAAACTGTAGAAGTTCACTCCAGAGAGCCGCTGGGCTTCGTGGTGAAGAAGTGGTTGCTGGCAGTAGTTATATGTGAGCTTGAAGACAAGCAGATCACTCTGGATGTGACAGAGCACCGTGGAGATGGGCAGCGGGCTCCCCTCTGGGCTTTCTGGCAGGGTAAGGCCAACCAAGTCCTCCCCTTTCCTCAGGATGGTTTTCCAGAGGAAAATGGGAAAAACAAAGAGCTGTCAGCTGCGGCGCAGAGACAGCATCCCGACTTTCCTGCGGACTTTCCCGCAGAGCAGCCCGGGCAGCGCCTGGCTCCACCTTGCCCCAGGGAGGGTCCCAGCAGCTTGTCTTTTAGGAAAAGCTTTCTTTCAAAAGCTTTGTCTGCAGGGATGTTTAATTTTCCTATCTGAGAGGGAAGAAAAGGTCTTTCCAACAGGGCGTGCAGCTGTAGTCCCTGCAGCTGCCGGTGCTGGGACCAGCGGATGTCCGGAGTCTGAAGCCAGGCGTGATTCCCAGCGGGAGCAGGCTGAGCAATAGTTATCAGGGCAGTTACAATTCTCTCTTGTCCCCTGGAAGTTCAGGCCCTGTACTTCTCCAAAGTGAGGTGTCAGATGTTCTTCCGCAGAGAAATTCCCCTGTTGGTTATGGACACGCAGCCCAACGACGGCGCGGCGGTCCCGGCTGGGGGGGCTTTGGTGGGACGTCCTGCAGCCGTCGGGTGCAGGAGACCGCGGGCTGCTCTGTGTGGGCACACCGACGCTGGAAGGCAGGTTAGTTTTCAATAATGATTTGCAGCTACATAATGAGAAATTTGTAGCATTTATAAACTGACTGTTGCTTTGAAATTGTTTCCCCTCTTTCTGCCCCAGACTTGACATTTGATGAAGAATTGAGGCTTTGTGTTCATTTACCGAATAATTTACTGTAGGGGGGTGGGAAGCAGCATCCACCTTAGTGAAGGTCAATGGCGTCGAGTCTTTAGCTGTTTTCCCAAGTACTATGAAGGTTTTCAAGCAAACAGCGTGGCTGCTGTCGGCAGGGGAAGG